AGGTCTTTTCCAACCTGGTCGATTCTGAGTCTGTGATTCTGGGAGGAGAACACTTAGTACTGAAGAAAGAGTTTTTTCTCTAGATTTCTTTGGGATTTAACATTGCTGAACAGTTTTAGTTGGGCATTGCTGTGCTTGAAGTGGCAGGAGGTGAAGGAGTGGAAGCTGCTGGACACAAGTGTTAGCTGCTCCTCAGGTCCCACAAGCAGCAAGTTTGTGTTCCTAGAAAAATCAGCTGTTCCACAGGGGAATTATTCCTTAGCCAGACATGACCCGGTCCTAATCCCATGACTGATGTCTGTTCTGGTGGGATTGGTGGGATTTAGGGGATTTTGTCTTCAAGGTGCTCAGTAACTGGTGAGCACAGGGAGTCAGTGCTCAGGATGTCTGTGCTGCTCTGGAGCCTATTGCAGGCATCAGGTGAGTTTAGCCAGACTCAAAAAAAAGAAGCTTTTTTGTCATATATTTGTGTGTTTAGCACCTCCTCGAGTGCCAGACCTGCAAATTAATATCAAGACTTGTGTAATTTGAAAGCATTTTCCCTTGGATCATTCCCAGTCATTTCATGCCACGTTGATTACATTTGAATTAGCATTTGCCCCCTGAATATAATCACTGTGTATAATCACAATCAAACTGCAAAGACTATCAAACACATATCTCTTCCCACCCCCAGCACATCTCTTTTTCCTTTTCTGGGCTGGTCTTCTGAAGGGGTGTCTAAAATTCAACCAATTCTGGCAGCTGCTCTGTGCCAAAAGGCTTAACTTTCAGGATTCCAGAGATTCCTTTGTTGTTTCATTAATGCATACAACCCCCCAGCTCATTCTCCTGTAGATGTGCAGGGAGTGGAGAGCTGAACACAGATCCCTTTGGATTGTGGAGCAAGTCCATGACAACAGTGCTAATGTGATACACTTCTCAATGCACACATTGGTTAGGAGAGAGGTCACACCTCCTGTGGCCTGAAACCCACACAGGTTTCTGTGCTTGATAAACCCAAAATATGCATTGTAACACACCACATCTTCTGCTTTTCTGTCTGTGGGTGCAGGTGGGAGAGGAGGCTTGGATTGCAGTGAAGTCCACGTGTCCTTGTAACTTCACTCTGCATTACGAAGTGGCTTCGCGAGGCAACATTGTTCTCTCTGGATTGCAGCCTAGGAACATCACCCAGCAGAGGAGCAAAAGAGCCACCTTCCCTTCTGAGAAGGGCAGTGATGTCACACGCCTCCCAGGAACAGGTAGCCAGCAGCAGGAGTGCAATCTCACCCCTGTTTGCAGGGAAAAACATCCATAAGACTAAGTGTCCTCTTTAGTTTTGAATTTGGTACTCCTGAAAGGATACAGAATGATGTTGTACAGGAAAAGTGGTGCCATCCATTGCACTCATAGTCATATAGAAAACTAAATTCTCCAAGGGGGATAACTCTTGGAGAGTTTTCTCCAGTCTTTCCGTAGCCTTTCTCTGTTAAGATTTTCGTTTTCCTTAATAAGCTTGGGATCAGCTGAAGGGTATGAATTCTTCCCTGGGAGGTGCTGAAGCACTGGCACAGCTCTCCCAGAGAAGCTGTGGCTGCTCCATCCCTGGGAGTGTTCCAGGCCAGGTTGGATGGGGCTTGGAGCAACCTGTGCCTGGGGGAAGGTGTCCCTGCCCATGTCAGGGGTTAAAACAAGATGACCTTTAAGGTCCCTTCCAGCCCAACCCAATTCTGGGATTCTCTGGTGGGGCTGGGGCAGTTTGCTAAGATCGTTGGGCTTAAATTTAGGCAGAGGACTATAGATGGACTGCTAGCATGGGTCAGGCTAAAGGAGAGAATCCTGCAGTCCACATGGGGAGGGGAAATGAAGAGTGGACTCCTTGTTTGTACAAGGAATAACAGACCCAAATCAGGTGAATTTGGGAAGAGGGGGATGAAAAGTGATGTGATGGAGAAGATGCATAAACAGCTGCCAAGGGAAAAGTCTGTCTGTCCAGTAACCTGTCTGCAGTAGTAACCAGTTCCAGAGAGGGAGTAAAAGAAACTCCCCTGGGTGTACTCACCCAGCTGCTGCTGTCAGAGGTTTAGGAGTTTGTGATGACTTTCTGCACTGAAAGTTTGTTCTGAGCTGTTGCACCTACAGCTTGCCCAGAGGCATCCTGATTACTCTGGCACTGGAAGGGTTCAAGGCCAGGTTGGGTGGGACTAAGGCAACTTGATCTAGTGAAGGACATCCCTGTCCACAGCAGGGACACAGAACTAGATGATCCTTAAAGGAACTAGATGATCCTTAAAGGTCCCTTCTAACTCAACTCTGTGATTCTGTTTAACTGCTGCAGAGAATCTGAGAACTATAAACTGCACAATTCTTTTTCAAACTCCTTTTCTCTCCTCATGTTCTGCAGCAAGAGCAATAGATACCCTTTTTGGTTTATTTACAATGGTTTGATAACTTAATTGTGTATTTCCTTGACTTTTTGACCAGAAAAACACAGAGTAGTCATTCTCTATCCATGTTCTCCATGCTGCTAGTTATGTTCTGGGTGCTAATTGCCTATCAGCTAAGTGGAGAAAACAGGGAAAGATTCTGAGTTCAAGAAGAACATGTGCAACAGGAGCAAGGGAAGAGAATAAGGAGCAGTGGTGGAGAGTTCAGCCTGGAGATGGGGCAGGAAGAGAGTGATTTTGAGAAATAAAGCTATCTTCTTTTACATTTTGTGTTTCAGCACCTACCAGCACACCTGCAGCAGAGGTGGAGGTCTGTGTGACATTCCTCAGGTTCTCCATAGTTCACTCCATGGCTCCCCTGGGCCGTCTCCTGGTGTACTACGTGCGAGAGAATGGAGAGGGGGTCACAGACAGCCTGCAGTTCACTGTGAACTCCTCCTTTGAAAACCAGGTATGGGCCCTGGGGCTAGTGGAGAGGAAGGAATGGTGTCTTGTTTCTCTTTGGAGTTTTGTCTCTGCTGAGCTAACAGGATTTCATGTTCCCTTTCCAGGTTGCTGTGGTGCTCTCAGCAAACGAGACCAGACCCGGTGATGTGGTGAACATCAAGGTCAGAGCTGCAAAATCAAGCTGTGTCTGCATTGCCACTGTGGATAAGAGTGTCTACTTGCTGAAGACAGGTTTTCAGCTGACAGCCAGTCAGGTAGGAAGAGCTTAAGGCACTGATCTCTTTATCTCAACGCTGTGACCTACACTTCACCTCAGCCTTTAGCCCCAAACACAGCAGCCTCTGCCCTTTCCCTGCAGGTTTTCCAGGAGCTTGCAGAGTATGATGTGTCTGATGCTTTTGGAGCTCCAAAGGAAGAAGGGCACTTCTGGTGGCCAGGCATGTCCTCACGTCGCCGCCGCAGATCTTCTGTCTTCCCCTGGCACTGGGACATCACCAAGGACGCTCGTTTCGCCTTTACAGTAGGAAGACTCAGCCTCCCTTCTCTCTGGAGTCTCTGTCTGTCTTTCATGTTTGCAGGATGATTTTCAGCTCCATAGGCCAGGGTTTTTTTCCCACATTAGAACTGTTTCTCCAGGGGGGTAGGCTGACAAGTAATTTTTGAGAGCAGAGTACACTGTTCCTGCAAAGATACTGGAGAAACGTGGTTTGATTTTTGGCCAGTGTTGAGGAGAGGGACAGGGTATCCTGCTGGGTGAGGGAATTCATGCTGGTGATCTGGAGAAGGAGTCAGGGGCCAAAAGGTTCCTCCAGTCATGTGTGAGCTTGCAGATCATTTCTGCAGCTCCTCTGACAGGGAAGGAAGGTGGAACATGAATCTTTCCCTGGAGCCTTTTCCCTTTTGGACTATCCTTTGGAAATAACATTTCTTTCCTGCCCTAGTCCTGCCAGCTTCTGTGGTCTTGTGTGAAAGATCAGGATTGTTTTCTTTGCATCCTTGATCAAGTTACTTAAATATATGGCATTCAAGGAGTAATTCTGTTTACTTGGAGTCTTTCAATACTTAAACCTGACCAGATTTTAAAAATCTGATTCCCTTTGATCTGTGCATTTGCATCATGTTTCAAGTTGAGCATTTAAAACAATTCTTTTTCTTTCAATGTACTCCTGAATGAATTAATTTCTTCATTGCTTTGGATGCTAACAGTGCAGTCCCTTGAGCTGAGAACAGCTCATTCACCTATAGGTTTTAAGGCATGTTACTATTTCCAGTAGTTTCTTGCTTTCCTGTTGTTAAAATAAGTCTTATCTGACCCCTTTGAGAAGTTCTGCTTGTTCTCCTCTCCCTTCCCTTCCCATAGCTGCACAGTAGAGTTCATCCACCCTTTCAACCTCTGCTGATATCATCCTCCTCTCCTTCCACACCACTGCAGTGCCCTCTGTGCCCTGAGTGCCTGAAGCTGTGAGAACAAACCATATAAAAGGCTGTGCTGTGTTTTATGTTCTTTACTTAGTTCTACTACTTGCTGTTCTGAAGGACAGACTGGCCTAGAGAACCTGTGTCACAGATCTAATGGTTGATGTTCTTTACATTTTTTATCCACAGAACTGCTCATGATAATGATCTTTGCTTCCTGCAGATCTTCTGTCTCTTCATTCTTTGTCCTTTCTGTGATTTTAGCTGAAGTGGTTTATTCTGTTCTCTTAAATCCCAGAGGCTTTTGCACATTCCCGGTGCCTCAAGCTCTTAATCACAGACCAAATCCTCCTTGCTATCCACTGCTGCAGGAGTCAGTGCAGCTTCTCTCCCTGGGAGCTTTTGGGCTTTCTGTTCTGATGCTTTTCCCTTGCTGAGAGGTGTAAACTCTTGGGAGGAGACACCTGTGTATGGGCTGCACACCTGGATTGTAACCTCTGGGTGTGTATGGACCTCCTCTGGTCCCTGGGAGCATTTAGGGGGCAGAGCTGGCACACACCTCCCTTAGGTGTTCTGTGCTTTCCCTGTGAGGCTCTGTGGACACTTTTCATTTTGCTTGGCACCCCTGGCAGCTCAGAGCTGGTGATGTCTGTGTGAGAGCTGCCTGCTAACTCAGCGCAGCACACTGGGAATTTTTAGGAAGGGTAAAATGCTGTAATGTTATATTCTAGGAGGGAAGAATATGCCTAAGAATTTTTCACCTCTAGCTACCTGGCAGTCACATGTGCCCAGTAAATGCATTCTCCAAGCAAGAAAGAGCTTTCTCATAAAACCTTTGCCTGTGTATCTTCATATTAGCACTCACTTTTATATGTAGGTTTTTTAATTTTTCACGTTTCAATTGAAATTTCCCCTATAAATATTGCAATAGGGTTGAGGAATTCCAGTCTATTTTTTTTTAAGTAGTCCAAATGTAATTCTTTTTACTTATTTCTTATTTTCCTTGCTGGTTTTTGTTTTGTGGTCTTGTCTAGGAGACTGGTTTGGTGGTAATGACTGACATAGTCAGCCTGAACCACAGGCAGAACGGAGGCATGTACACCGACGAGGCCGTGCCAGCCTTCCAGCCACACACTGGCACCTTGGTGGCTACAATGCATTCAAAAATAGCCCCCAGGTAACATTTTGGTTGTGATTTCTATTGTCTCTGATACTCTGAGCTGTTTTGGTTCCATATTCTCAGCTGTTTTCCACTTCTGTACCCTTAGGAAATTGCTTGGGATGAACCAGGCAGTGATGGGGAAGCACTTCTGGTGTCTTGAGAGGTGTAATCAAAGTTATAATTGACACCACTTGGTTAAATTTATACTAATCCTTGGAAAATGCAAAGGAATGTTGTTCAAAAGGATGATTTGAAACTCGTTGCATATCTTAATTCTCTGTGAATTAGTTGCTGCTTCTCAGTATTTGTAAGTTACTTTGGCCAAAGTCAAATGAGAGTCTGCCTGAGGAAAAAGTCCTGAAGTTCTCTGAGCAATGCTGCACTTGAGGATGGGTCTTACCTTTGTGCTCTGAACCTCCTCTCAGCAGAGGGAATTTTGGAGGGTGGTTAGGAAAAAGGGTAGGAAGCATCACAGATGTGGAAAAACTGATTCAGTTATTAAACTGTTCAAGATCAAGAGAAGAAATGAAGAGTATAAAGCAGTGATTGTACTAACTGCTATTAGTTTTAGGCCATATCATGGGATTCTGGGAAGTCACATGCTCTAAATTCTCCCTTGGATTCATTCAGTGGCAGAAGTTGGATCATAAAACATTTCTTTGGGTTTATATTATTGGTGGTAGTTCATGAGATTATCTGTACTGGTTTTTAGAGTCTTATTTATGTCATGAGATTATCTGTACTGTTTTTTTTGAGTCTTATATATGTCTGCAGAGTGTGTGTTGTGTGTGTCTGTGTGTGTGTGCACAGTGGGATGGTTTGATTAGACCATGTCCTTTGTGTTAGAGTGATCACCACTCACTTAACTGTGCTAGGCAGAGCTTTGGTTGGTCACAGGAGCTGCACTCAGCTAATGACTCTGATCTATCAGCTACTGTTAAAACTGTCTTACTGAAAGGATTCACTTGCAAGGTCTTATTTCTCATTCCAGCAGAGCAGAGAAGAGAAAAAGAACCTTCTTTCCTGAGACATGGATTTGGCACTGCCTCAATGTCAGGTATGGACAGGGAATTCTCTCAGTTCTATCCAGGGGGTTGTAACCTCTTCAGCTACAGAAAACAGAACTCTTTGAAAGCTGTTGGAGTTCCATTTGCATTCTCTGATACAATTTGTTATTCTTCATTGCCACTTGAATCAATAATCTTTCTTTGCAGCATTGAAGTCTTGACGTGTATTCACTTCAAGTTGAACCTGTGTGTTGTGGCTACTCTGTTCATGGCTTTTCTCTTTTCTTTTCACTCCTTTCTCTGTCATCTCTTGCAAGAATATCTCCCCCAAACCTGAATTTATTGCCTCATGAACTCTGGTTTCCTCTGGGTGCAGTTGGAACTAAAAGCACTAATAAACAGATAACTCATCCCTCCCAGAACATCACAGCTAGGAAAATTTGAAACCATTATTAAAAGGCTTCTCCAGGTTTGCAAGGAAACATCATTCTCTGTAAATGATTGCAAATGAAATTTGACAGGAACTTGCAGCAAGTGTATTCAAATCTGCTCAATTGAGCATGAAATATGCTTTGTAGCAATACACAAAGAATTCCAGAAGTGCCTGTTTGGGCCTCAGCAAGTTGGGGCAGTTAATTATAAGTGGGAGAGTGTGGAATAAAAAGTTGCAGATTGCATTTTCTCCACTTCATTTCATTAGAAACAACTGAGTTGAGCATTCCTTAATTTCCACTGTCTTGAACAGGAAGAATTTTTTTTTTTTCTTCTACCATTTATAATTATAATATACAATCTTGAAAAAAAAAAAGGAAGAGAAACAAAAGCCTAATGTCAACTTCCCAAAGCAATCCTCAAAATTCCTAGGGCCTGGCTGGAGGGTCTAATGGCTGGAAATGTGTGTGTACTTTGGCCTCCAGCCCAGGAGAGTAAGTGCCCTCATGTGTGAAAATAATGTTAATGCTGGTTATGGGCTGAAATCCCAGTGGAAAGAACATCAGCTGCAACAAATTGTCCGGTTAAACAGGCTGGAATAGTGCCAGTCCTGGAGCTAGGACAGCCTTCTGCTGCTCCTCAGGCTGCAGTCATTGTTGCAGGTATCAGCTGTATAACCCCAGCTGGGATGAGGAGCTAAATATTGAACTAATCTGCCTAAAAGAAGTTACAGTAATTTAAACTTTAACCTTAAAGTAGGTTTAGATTAGATATTGGGTAGAAATTGTTGGGTTTGAGGGTGGTGAGACACTGGCACAGGTTGCCCAGGGAGGCTGTGACTGCTCCATCCCTGGGAGTGTTCCAGGCCAGGTTGGATGGGGCTTGGAGCAATCTGGGCTGGTGGAAGGTGTCCCTGCCCATGGCAGGGGTGGGATGGGATGGGTTTTAACATCCTTCCATCCCAAATCATTCTGGGATTCTGTGATAACTTGATGCTGCCAAACCCAAGTGCATTTCCCAGGCTCTCCACTCTGAAGGTTGAGCTAGGGAACCACTGGTCAGTGCTCAGAGCCTGCCTGGACCTGGCATGTCTCTTCCAAGGATCTCTAGCTTTTGTCAAACTATTTGTGTTTACCCCTTTTCCCACTGTACTATAGATACACAGCTCAGTCCATGGTGTCCTGTCTGGGCCCTGACACTTACAACAGCTTTAGGCTCATTGTCCAAACCCTGGCAGTGTTTCATTCCAGGTTGGATAAAACCTTGAGCACCTGCTCTGGTGGGAAGTGTCCCTGCCCAGGGCAGGGGGTTGGGGCTGGATGATCTCTAAGCTCCATCCCAACCCCTAAAACTCTGTGATTCTATGCCTGAGAATTACCAGCAGTTGATTTAGAGGAGCAAAGCAGAGGTGCCTCAATAACAACCTCAGCTGCAAAGCAGTGCAAGAGCAGTTCAGCATGTCCTGGGGTGGGTCAGGCAGCACTGCAGGTGAGAGTGTCATGCTATAGACTGACAGAGCTTATCCTCAGGATCTGCTCTCTCATTTTTCATGCCAACTAAGATGCTCATTGCCCTCAGAAGCTTTCCGAGCTGGCAGCGTGTGTATCAAGCTCTGGGGAATAAATAAGGACTTGAGAGAAAACAACCTTAGGGTGTACTCATAACTGCACCAATCATGCTGCCAGTTGAGCCATGAAATAGCTTTTGTTCTTGTGTCAGAGGAAATGTTTTCTGTTCCAGGCAAGGCCAAAGCTGCTTTGCAGGAGGGCAATAGCAAAGCCTGCAGAACAAAATTGCATTTCTCTTATAATAAAGCATGGAAGAGGCTACCAGGTTTGTGATGTCCTGCCGTGGTATGCACAGGAGAGCTAAATACTCAGAGATTGGATTTTGAATCATTAGTTTCAATCCTCAGTGGAAGGAAATGGTGGATTGGGAGTTTTGTATATCAGGCATTCCAAACCCCTCCAAACCAAACTGTTTCTGAATCACAACAAGCAGTTCCTGAACTTGGTGTCGAGAAAACTACTTGTTTGCACTTATGTTCAAGCAGATTCTGCAGGTTGGCAATGGATACGGGGACAATGGGCTCCAGCAAAAGTGACCTTTAGCTGTTAACTGAATTATTGTTGAACTGGTTTTATCCAGGTCCTTACTCTGGAATTCTTTGTTTCCTCTTGCCCTCCCCTCTTTGTTGGTTTTTTTTTCCTCTATGCAGACATTTGCCTCTAAGAAAAGTGACTCTAAAATAAGGCTGCAGATAAAGCTTTTAATCCTCTAAGAATGTGCGTGTTAGGGTTGTTTTTGCAGAAGCAACTACTTGCTGTTCTGCTCCTTGTAAATGTTTGCAGATCTCAAAACAACTGCTAGAAAACATTGAGCCTTTTCTAAGCTGCTGTTGAAAACAGACACTGATGCTGCTAGAAATTTGGATCTGGAGGGAGTTCCCCAAAACTTTTGGCTCTGTGAGCTTTGATTAAATGTTCTTGAGTGAGTTTAGTCTGATCAACCCTGTTCCCTGCTCTGTTTGGCAGTAACACCTCAGGAGAAGCACAGCTGCACGTGGAAGTGCCTGACTCCATCACCACCTGGATCACTGAGGCCGTGGCTCTGTCTGAGGAGAAGGGATTGGGCATTGCCACTCAGACAGAACTGAAGACCTTTAAACCTTTCTTCATTGATTTCACCTTGCCATACCACGTCATCCGGGGGGAGCAAACCAAAATCCCACTCACTGTCTACAACTACTTGGCTGTCTGTGTAGAGGTAAAAACCTCTTCATTCTTCTTGTTGAGTTACTCAGTTCTGGTTTATAGTCAGGATTCCTGAGTGATCTACAAGTTACAGTAGATAAGTTAGGTTGGATATAAGGAAGAAGTTTTCCCTGTGAGGGTGGTGAGACACTGGCACAGGTTGCCCAGGGAGGCTGTGGCTGCCCCAACCCTGGCAATGTTCATTCCAGGTTGGATAAAGCCTTGAGCAACCTGCTCTGGTGGGAGATGTCCCTGCCCAGGGCAGGGGGTTGGGGCTGGATCCTCACTAAGCTCCATTCCAACCCCTGAAATCCTATGATTTTTTGAGGAATGAGGTCAACATAGAGATAAGCTCAGCATAAATGCTTTGAAAAGATAAATATTGCCTTTCAGAATGAACAAATTTCATTGCTTTGAAACACATTTAATAGTCTGAAGTGTTTTGCAGCACTGGAGAAACACAAATATTGAAAAATCTAGGGAAGACAGTTAGGAAACTCATGCTGAACCACAGAGAAGAACTTTCCTCCTTAATCAGAAAGCTGCTGAAAGTAGTTTATTTTGAAGCAATATGGGTGCTGTCTCCCTAGATGTTTTCTTCTCAAACTCATCTGCCTAACTCAGTAGCATCTCACAGAACTCCTGCTGAGCTGGAAGTGCTGCTCTCAAATACCTGACTAGAAGGTTTGAAGAACAAATAATCTGCATACTCTGATTTGTGTTAAGCTTTTGGTGGGTTCCAGGTCATTCACATAGATCACTTGGGTTTGCAGCTGAAATTTGCAGTACATAACATTCCAAAATTTTCACAGGTCCATGTGAAGATTTCTGTTCCAAAGGGCATAAAGTTTGTTGGGCATCCTGGGAAGCACCACCTGACCAGGAAGAAGTGTGTGGCCCCTGGGGAAGCTAAACCCACCTCTGTCGTTCTGTCCTTCAATGAGCTGGGACTGAGCAACATCACTGGTAGTACAGAACTAAAAACAGCTTGTTGCTTGAAGGAGTTTCACTGGTGTTTCTTTTCATTCCTCTTTCAGAAGAAAGTTCTGATTTCCCTAGTTCCCCAAAGTGTGGAATCCTCCATTCCACTTGTTTCTGGCTTGGCCTTTCAACCTCATTTGTTGTAAACAGATTCTGTACCTGTAACCCTCTGAAGAGTCTGAGCAAACATCAGGGGGGTTTGGTCAGCAGTTCTCCTGTTATGTGATATTTGGCCATGGAAGGTTGGACCTGTTACATTGCCCTGAAGAGATTAGTGGGAACTGTTAAATGAGAGAGAATAACACCAAATTCTCTGTGTCTTTCAGCAAATAATCCCAGTAAAAATTGTGCAACTCTGAGAACTGTGGAAGAGTTTCTCTGTTGCCCCATGACTGTCCAAATATTGTCTGGTTTTAGATGTGATCATTCAAATATGGCATCAAGGAAATATGAGAGATCTGTAATTACAAACCACTTGATGTCTTGTTAATCAGCAACATCTAATTAGTTTAGATCTCCTCTTCAACTCCTGAAGGTCTTCCTGTCTCAGAGTTTCTGCTGCTTTTCCCTTCTGTTTCTCAGCAAAAGCTTTTGCTTATGGTGGAACCAATTGTTGCCAGGATGGGATGCAGACCTTAAAGAATGGGAAGCACTCAGAGGACACTTACCTGGACAAAAGGACTCCAGTGGGAGTGGATTATGTTCGAAGCAGTGTGATAATCGAGGTGAGAAAATGGGAGTTTGTAATCATTCAGGAAAAAATGCTTGGGCAAGTCAGCAAAGTGAATAGGTCTGTAAGAATCCTCGAGTTTTGGTATGTCAATATCCTCAATTTTTCCTCAATTTATGGTGTGTTTGTGTATTTGGAAATCATCAATTTCAGTGGTACTTGGACAGAAAGAGCTTGTTTGGTTCTGGGTTCATCTGGTGACTCTTCAGTGATGTTCAGGAGAAAAAGGAATAGAAGTTTTATCAGATAAACTTACCCTGTTAGTCTAAGCAATGTGCTGTGATGTGACCTTCTCTGGGAGTGCTTAGCACATCTCTAACAGAACACAGTGTCATCACTTCTCCATAGAGGATATAAACCACTGTCCAGCAGCAGAATATCATTCTGTATTCC